TCATTTCGAAAATTTAAATTTTTACGTTTCTAATTTATGGTTTTGAAATTATTTGTTTTAATAAGTAAAAAAAGGTAAAAATTTTTAAAATAAAACAAAAAGTTAGCTTTATCATAATATAAATTTTAATTTTTTTATAGATTAATTAAAATTTTCCCCTTTCTTTTAACATTTTTTTAAAATCAAAACTATATATGATGTGAAGAGATAGAATAAAAAATATTTAAATTTAATTATTTTTTATTTTTATATAATTATTAAAAAATCATATATAAAAAGTTAGATATTTTAAAATAAATTAAACATTATAAAATGTTAAACTAGTTTCTTTTATAACAAAATATCAAGACCAGAAAATTCTACCAAACCCCTAATTTTTTTAATTAAACCAAAATTTAATAAAACACGCACACACGAGATGAAAAGAGTGAGTTGGAAAAGTTTGAAAAGTAAATTATTAAATTTTTGAAATAGGAAAAATTGAAGCGTAAAAATTTTAAACTTCCATATAATTGGTTTGGCAGAATTTTCTGACTTTGATTTTTTGTGTTATGAAATAAAATATTTTAACAACATATATATATATATATATTATTATCTCGCTTACTGAGTGATGAAGGCTGTACTGGCAAAACGACAATTTAAACGCCATAATAATTACTCCCCTTCAGACGTACAGTACTTGTCTCATCTCTCTCTTATTTTCCTTTTTTTTTTTTTCAGTCCTCGCTTTTTCAAAAAAAAATTAAATTAGGTTACCGAAAATTTTAAAATATGCATAAAATTTTATAATCACTTTCTATTTTCATGAAATATTATTAGATACTTATTTATTTAATATTAAATCATAATTTATTAATTAAAACTTGACATTTATTATATTTTAATTAGTATCAGTGTCTAATAAAATCTAATAAAATTGAAACAATTCCTTATGTCAGATATATATATGTATATTTGGTGCTGATTATTGCAATATGTTAAAATTATCCAATTTAATAGCTATATATTGATCTTATTTTATTGTCGGATTTTAGTTATTATATCAATTTGATTGTTAATTATACTTATTATAAGCATTATATAATTCCTTACCAATATTACAACACAATGCTTAATACTGTCTTTAAAAATTATGATTTTGCATCAAAAGCTTTTTATTGTAATATAATACTTATAAAATATGTTATATACCAAATTGTTTCCATTTTTTTGGGGCTATAATTGATAGTATTTAAGAGCCTTTTTTCATAAATATTAATAAATTGTTATATTTGTTATATACACACACTCATATTTACTTATAAGTATTTTCGTCAATTTTACGATTTGAAATTAATTCAATTCAGAGTATTGTGATTGTTGCCTCCCAAATACATATTCTCAAATTTTGAAAATTAATTCTTTTTTATAATATAAAAATATTTTATTACTTATATCACATTCATCAATTATTGTTTATATATAAATATTTTTAGAGTCAAGGGAAGGAGGGAAGCATGATGAATTGAGTTTCTAATTTTTTATATACATTTTAAAAGTATTTTATTACTTGAATGATTATTAGATTTAATGTATTTAAATAATTTAAGTTGTGACAATTTATGAGAGTTACTATTAAAAATATTTTTTTTAAATTTTTTTATTTACTTGGTATGATTTGAAGAGAATATAACAAACTCTTTAACTATTTGTTTACATTGTCACAACTACCTTCATAAAGCCAACAATACAAGTTAAAATAGAAAGTTTAGTCTCACCCCTTTCTCATATTATCAAAAGAAAGAATAAAATATAAATATTTTAATATTTTGAGAATTTTCTCCACAAAAAACTTATAAGTTCTGAAGTGTTTAAATATTTTTTCCCCATAAAAACATTGAAAGAAGGTTCACTCATTAATTCTCTCAATTATTTCTTTTCACAAGAGAATAATGGAAGAAGATTCATGAAGATTCATCCACAGAAATATTTATTTTTTCTTTATTTTTGTATAATATTTCATTAATTAAAAAAGTATATTTTTTGTAATAATTTTTTTTTATCACTTTTATGAACCTTCAGTGTGTTAACTTGAAAGTAAGAGTTCTATTTATTTAATTTCCCCATGAAATTTTGCATGCAAAATCAAATTAATTAATTTATAATTTAAAATAAAAAATAATAACTTTACTTTTGGTACAAGTATACTGAAATTAATTTTCACATATACTTTTTTAAAATATTTTTTTTCCAAAATACAGCATTATTCACAATTTTACTATCTGTCTACGAGCTTCTTTTTTTTTTTGAGAAAGGGAGGAATTTTAAGTTGGATAATAAAAAAGCATTAATTTAGGATCTTAAAATGTCTAAAAATCCTCCTAGATTTTCGCCCTGGAATCTCTAAAATTACAAACAGCCCCCTTAATTGACAGTCTTCTAATTTAGTAACATCCAAAAGAGGGGAGAAAGGAAACAAAAGGAAGAAGAAGATTTCGTCTGTAAACCTGTAAGAATTAAGAAACCACTAATTATTAGTTAAGGGGGTGGAATTATAAGTGCATAAAATTGTTTTCTTGCTTTTAAAATTTTGGAAGGGGTAAAAGATAAATAAGTGAACATTGCCCTAGATTGAAGAGAGCGCCAAATCCGAGTCACGTGCATGCCAAGTCCTTGCCCCTTCGTCGTTTTATCAACGACCTCCCCTGCTCCCCCCCATCGTCGTCCCCTCCTCTCTCTCTCTCTCTCTCTCATTACTTTTCCTTTTCCATTGAAAGACACAGTCTCTCTCTCTCCCTATCTCTCTCTCTCTGTACATCACTCCTTTTCAAACTGAACTTCAGTTCAAGCCTTGACAGTTCCTTAATCCAGAGACCCCATACTCTCTCGTTTTGCTTTTCCTTTTCTTTCCCTCTTATGCAAGTTGAAGCACTGCCCACTTTCTGAGCTTTAATTCGCATTCATACCCACCCTGAAGAGAAGATCCAGTCTTAAAGCTCTCAAGCGGTCTCATTTTTCTCGGGAAAGTGAAAAACCTTAGAACGACTCCTTATTCAGTGCGAAGTTGAAGAACCTGCCCTTTTTGAGGTTACCGAGAAAGATATTGAATCAGCAAAGTACAGTATTTAGATTCAGATCTACAAGACCCCTAATACCCATCATTTGTTTTGATGGTTTCAACACCCCTTTTCGAAATCGAATTTGAGACAAATGCCGAGGCAAAAGTTTAATGGGGATGGAAGTGTGACTAGGGAGAGCAAGGTGAGAAAGAGAGGCTGTTCTTCGTCGTCTTCTTCTTCGTTGGTTCGCAGGTACCGTTTGAAGCGGGCGATTTTGGTTGGAAGAAAGGTGGGTCAAGCACTCCTGTGCCTACTTGGAGGATGGGTTCGAGATCACCGCCATGTGTTCTACAAAATGCCAAGTCGTTAAGTACCCCTTCTAAGGATCTCTCTGTCTCGGCCAGAAAATTGGCCGCTACTCTCTGGGAGATCAATGTGGTTGCTTCGCCTCGAGAGGAAGAGAATTGGGAGGGGAGGAGTGAGAAGGAGTTGAGAAGTAGAGAAAGAAACATGAAGGCGTCGAAATCGGGCTCCGGTCTGCCTCATTCTTGCAATCACACTCGTAGCCCTGCCACAGAGGTGGTCTGTTTTCCTTTTCTGTTTTTGTTTTAATTTTCTATAGTTTTGAAAACTAAAAACTCAGAAAACCTTGAAGCTTCTTTTGTTTGTAGTTTTCATTTTCGGGAGAAAATCAATTATGACATTTCTGAAAATAAATTTTTGTTGTTTGCTAAAAGAGCATGTTTTGTGAAAGAATTTGGAAAAATTTCGTTTTCAGAAAAAGAAAACTATTTTCAAATAAAAATCCAAACGGGGGGCCGTTCTCTTGCAGCGAATTGCCCAATATTGGTTTCTGTTATGAACTAACTCTTTAGCATGTTTCCATCTTAGAGTATTTTGTTCCTGTATATAGAATGAATTTCTTTTGACTGTTCTCTCCTTGGCTAATTTTTTTTGTCTTGTTTATCAGAGGATAGACCAATCTAAAGCTGGTGAGCACCATAGAAGAAAATCAGCATTCCTCAGTTGGGGAGATTTGGACTCCATTCAGAATGCCAGCATCATAGAGGTATCAATGCTAATTTATGATACTTGTGTCCGGAAGATAAATTTTTAATTCTGTTGCGTGTTGATTCCTGTAACCTGTGGAGGATCCAAGAACGTTGTCTTGGTTTAAGCCGAATGGCATGGTTTAAATTGTCTGTCTGTGAAGGGCTTCATAAAACAGTGGAAACATGGAAGTTAATATTTAGTGCTTTTTCTTGTAACGACAAGTACTTTTACACGGGAAACTGCCATCCAATTGTGAGAATATGCTTGCTTCCCCTCTCGTCCACCTTTTTGGCCCCAAATAAGGAGGGAAAAGGAAAAAGGCAAAAAGTTGCCAAAATCCATTGTTATTTTCGCTGGAGAAATGATAATGAGAAGAGAACAAGAAATAGGATAAAACTCGAACACCATTATCTCTAATCCCACTATACATTTTATTTGCATTTAGCATTTGGAGCTATCCTCTAGAGCAAATCTTTTGGTGATCGGGAAATACACTAGGAAATGGACAAATCCCTTATCAGCTCCCAAGGAAAAAAGGGGAAATGAAGAAAAACCTGAGGTTAGTTCAGTTGTCTGCCCCACAGAACACAACATGTTTTGTGGCTGATTCACGCATATTTTACACTCTGCACGTTTGGTTGTTTACATGCAAACTGCACAAAAGTTAAAATGGCCATATGTTACACTTTGCACGTTTGGTTGTTTACATGTGAACTGCACAGAAGTTAAAACGGCATGATTTGTTAGGATCCTTCTGTGCTAATCTCTTTCTATTGTGTATTGCACAAGGAAAGGAAAAAAAAAACCTAGAAGTAAAAAGTAATGTTGTTTTCTATGCAGATCGAAACTCAATCTCACGTCGAACTCCTGGCAGATATGTAATTGGTGTTAAGACCCGTTTGAAAGATGTCAGTAATGGTCTGACTGCATCTAAAGAGCTTCTTAAAGTATTGAATCGCATTTGGTTTCAGGAAGAACAACGTTCATCAAGCATATCCCTTGTATCAGCCCTAAGATTTGAACTTGACAGAGCCCGAATGCAGGTTGATCAATTAATCCAGGAACAGCGATCTAACCGCTATGAGATTGATTACCTTTTAAAGCAGTTTGCTGAAGAAAAGGCAGCCTGGAAAAGCAAAGAACGGGATAAAATTCGCAATGCCATTTCATCCATTGCAGGAGAACTTGAGGTGGAGAAGAAGTTGAGAAAAACAAACTGAGAGACTGAACAAGAAGCTAGGCAAAGAACTGGCAGATACAAAGGAATCTCTTTCAAAGGCACTAAAAGAGCTCCAGAGTGAAAAGAGAGCAAGAGAGATATTGGAGCAAGTTGTGATGAGTTAGCCAGAGGTATAGGAGAAGATAGAGCTGAAGTGGAAGAAATGAAGAGAGAATCGGCCAAATTTCGGGAGGAGGTAGAGAAGGAAAGAGAGATGCTTCAGCTAGCTGATGTGTTTCGTGAAGAAAGGGTCCAGATGAAGCTGTCAGAAGCTAAATTCGAGTTTGAGGAGAAAAATGCAGCTGTAGACAAGCTGAAGAGTGAACTTGAAGCCTACTTGAAAAAAACCAAAGTAGGTGAAGAAAAATCTGATGCCTCTCCTAACTTCAACAGAATCAAGGAGCTTGAGGAGTATTTAAGGAAAACCCTGGGTGCTTCATGTCAAAAGAAGGAGAGGGAACAGGATGAAGGGGAGGTTATGAATGGAGAGGAGAATGATGGGGATGATTCAGCTGAGAGTGATCTTCATTCTATTGAGTTAAACATGGATAACCTTAGCAAAAGCTTCAACTGGAGTTATGCCTGTGGTGGGGCTATTCAAAATGATTCAAGAAGAAGTTCAGTTGATGAAAAAAGGGAAGGAAGTCCAACTCAGAGAGGGTTCAGAGAAACAGCATTTGTTTGGAAAGAAAGACGTCAGATGGTGTCGAGTGGGATTTTGTCACTAAAAGCCAAGAAAATACAGGTGGGTTTGACAGGGGAAAATTTTTATTAGAACTCACTTCACAACCTCGTAGAAAAGATTATGAAGATGAAATTGAGAGATATGAAATGGTGAGAGATCTTAGAGACCATATATTGTCAGGCACACGAATAGCATCTCTGCAAGGCTTTGCAAGCCCTAACAGGAAGATAGACTATTGCTTGCCTTCCCAAGACCCTGCAACTGCACTACACGAAAATTTAACGCAATTGGAAGGGGTTAGTTTGAAGTCAAAAGCCAGTCTCAACACAATTGAAATAGTATATATCTTTTTTTATTTCTCTTTTTGTTTTCATGACCAATGCTTTGCCTGCATATCCCAACAAGTAAAACAGATATTTCTATTGCCTATTTCTGTTGCAAGTGAATTGCTGAATGTTGTATTATGAAGGTTGTTAATATAAATTATGTATAATTTATCCCGAACTGGAAATTGTCTTTGAAAAACAGGCTGCTATGACTTGCATTGCATGTGGCACCAGATTTGCAGTTCATCCTCTATCTCGCAACAACCTGATCATCATCTTTGGGTTCTTTAATTCCAAGCATCTATTATTGACTTCAAGATCTAGTCAGCCATTCAATTTAGTTCGTTGAGTTTGACAGCTAGAAAAATGGTAATGGTGGTGGTTTCCATTATTTGAATCCAATAATAGTGGGATTTACTTGGCTAATTTGGACCCCATCTGCCCCTAAACTAACGCCAGCTATGTTGAACTGGGACTGGATATATTCATAATCAAAAATTGTAGTGTCATTGTCAGCAGCTCAATAATGGTAACAATTGTTTTAATTGTCTCTATCTAAACGAACGGTTTTCCCTTGTATTCATCCGAATATGAATCAAATTTGGTTGACGTTAGTTACAACTAATGTCCAGTTCTGTCGGAAGGATGGCAAATTACACTACAGTGTGGGAACTTTGATAGCTCATGTTGTCCCGGTCAAGTTATGATGACATGACTACTGATGGGCTATACTAAATCAGGATAGTTATACCTGGTATAATGATATTTCTAAAAATGGGATAATTAAATTTATTTGACTTGTAGCTTCTAACAGCATTACACAATTGCCCACTGACAAAGACTAGTTCATTGTTTTTTTCTATTTTAGCCGAAAGGTCTTGTATTTCTAATGGTCATTTTTTTGAGCAACACATCTTTTTGGCATGCTAATACTGACTAGCTGTTATTCAATTACTCCTCAGAATCATGCAACGTCAGATATTTCTGATTTAAAATGATTAAATTTTTCTGAAAAATCAATCGTTTTGAATCGTCACTTTATATATATATGTGTGTGTGTGTTGTTGGTAATTTGAATCACTATTTGTCAACTCATGGAGCTACTATTTGTCAGTCAATTCAAGTTCTTGCCACTTGGTATCTGTGTAAAGTACAAGGGTATTTTACTTAGCATCCGACGTAGACTGCATGGGTTCCAATACTAGGGATATTAGTTTGGCTCAAATGTTTGCTAAACAACCTAGCGTGGATCAGGAGAAATCTCCAATTGAAAGGGAAAAATTCAAAAAGCTCAATGATATTCTCAAATCATCAAATAATCTTGATGATAAAAAAAGTAGGTGTGTTCGGTACATCTATCAAATTTATAAATAACTAGAAATCCAAATCTAACTCTACTTCCTAATGTTTAAGTAAATGACTTTAAAGAAATCAAATTCCTGATAGTGATGCTCCCATGATTCTACATAAACAAGAAACTCTTAAAAATAAATATACATGACTAAAAAAATTAAATTAAGAATAAGGAATTGTTCATTAGTAGACTTTTTTTGTTGAACACGACATTTCCAATTAACTCGACACATCACAACAGGTTAATCTCAATGCAGAGGGTTCATGTGATTTAGAACTGGTGCTCATGACCAACTGCAAATCGAAACTGGTCAAGTTAATGAAAAGAAAAATAAGGGCAGCCTGGATTCGGTGAGATTAATTGCTACATGTGGACGGATCTAGTATTAAATTACTGAGGCGCGAAATTAGAAAAAGCTAAAATATGGAAGGCCACCTGTTTCTTTTTTTTTAAGTAACTACATATGAAAAAATTGAAAACCTCTCAACGGTGGGGTGATGCCATTGTGTAAATCCGTCTTTAATTCTACTGCATATAGAAACATGGGCAAAGTCCCAGTGCCCCACAAAATTAAAAAATAAAAAAACTAGTCATTTTCAAGAGAATTGTGAGAAAACAGGCTTTTTTTTATAGAGAAAAATAAAAAGTTGTTTTTAGAATTCTCAAATTATTTCACTTGAAAATTAAAGCATCTGAAAATGATTGAGTTTTCAGCATTCTGCAAGTGAAATGCAGAACAGAGAAACTGAGAGCTGGGCACAAATCCACACACACCTGTTTTGCAGAGCAGACTATTAATCTAAATGCCTTAAATCCTTTACAGCTAGGAAAGTAAAAATAAAATAGATACATTCAGATTCATTTGAACCGCATGACCAGAAAAATACTCGGGAAGATTCTTCAATTCACTAGAATTACGAGTTACAGAACACAAATTCATCAGAACCCAGTGACCAGGATGCTAATAGAGGCTCATTAGCATATCAATTATTGGTGAAGCCCCAGTCTTCATGCAGATAGCTTAGTTCATTTTTTATTTTTAAGTTCCAGGACAGGTGTGTGGTCATTCACAGTCAGACCAGACATTTAGGCCTTGAGTAATGGTCAACCATATCAACTATCAAACTTTACACATGCTATTCCCCCAGATATCTTCATTACTGAATCACAGACGCAAACAATATATATATACACACACAGACAAGTGTGTATATATCATGGAGGCAGTATTCCCATTTGAAGATGTGTTTGTTTGTCTCTGTCTGTGTCTATGCTTTGTGTATGAGAGAAAAGTCTTCAAAATTCTTGTAGTAATGAAAAGGATAGATGTGAGAGGGGGACAAAACTCGATGCAAATTGTGACAAAGACTTAATAGCATTGCCAGAAAGCTCAGAGATAATCTCAGGGGGATCTTCTTTTGAAAACTCACCAGATTTATGCTATATAATCGTACTGCTGGTTACTAAGGTGCCAGGGGCCAACTCTGGAGGTTAATGACTAAGGGGTTGAGTCTTATTGAAGGTAAACAAGTATATGAAACCAGAACTGTAAAACGTAATTACAGATTGCTACTGTAAATCAGTTACAGGCTTATAGCTCAGCTTGCAAACTTGAGTTGCCCATGTCTACTTTGGACAATCCTAAACTCAATCCAAATAGCTGAAAACTTTAGCCAACTGGCCTAGTTGGTTTAACAGGAACAATTTAATTATGTGTGTTGGGCTTAAAAAACTCTTTGTTAATTTGGGTTAAGTTAGGGTGAGGAAGTTGTTTTTGGTTGATTTAGGTTGCCCAAGTTACAGTCCACTGCTCAGGTTTTGCCTATGTCCAAATGAAAGCAATTTTTTTTGGGTAATAAGAGGGGCCGAAAATCACAAAACAAAAAGTAGATCTATAAGAGATTATTTTGTTTAATAAAGACTAATAAAAGACCTCCCAATTAACCCAGGGGAGATCCACTTCTTCACTCCAGACTCATGAGAGCGGCTGGTATAGCGTGTCAATAAATTAGATTTTAACTTAGATTCGAATTCAAATTTTAGCATTTGAAATCGATAAAAATATCAAATGTATTAGATTCAATTATAAATATTTGTAATTTAAATAAATGGATCAATTATAGAATTAAGCAATTCAATCCGTTAAAATTTTGAATCTCAATTTTAATAATATTTTTTATTATATTAATAATCTTATATATATAATACTAATAAATTAAATCTTGTAGGACTAAATTAGGAAAATCATAAATTAATTGATAAAATTGAGTTAAGAGACTTAAATATAAAAGAGTATTATTTTTCTTATCGGATTGGATTTTTTTATTAAATTTCAAATTATCTATTAAATTTAAATATAATTTAACAAATACATATTTTATAAAATTTTATATCAAGTTTATATATGAAAATAAATAATGAAATTTAAATTTAAATTCAAATATATATAATATAATCAAAATTTAACACATTTACACTCCTAGACTGAGATTAAAATTGCAGCGGAGCTTGCCCGGTTAGGAAATATGCTTATACAATATGGAGGTAACACTCAAAGGGGGCATCCTAATCAATAATGATAATAACCGCCTGTAATGGTGAGTTATATGTATTATTGTACTTTGAATTTTAGCGGAGATTGGGGAAACAGGGTAGGTTTCTTTCTAAGAGTTGCTATGACTCCTGTTGGCTATCTTAAAGATAAGGACAACCTGGACAAGGACTTTGTCGCTGATGAAAGAAAAAGGCATAGCCATGTCTCCCCAACTATAAACCAATATAATTTGTGCGGGACCAGCTTGAATTGCAGCCAAGACCTAGTCAAAGTTAGTGGCGTTTGAGTTGGTTTTCAAATCAAACTAAATTATATTTTAAATTTTATAATTTTTAATAATTAAATTAAATTATAATTTATAATTTAGTTTAGTTTTAAGTTATAGTTTGTGATTTATAAAAAATAAAATAAGTTAAATTTATTACTCTTAAAAAAATTGATAGATTTTTTTTTAAAAAATTAAACATTTAAAAATATTTTTCAATCTGTTTAATTTGACAAATTTATCATTTATCAATTAATTATAGTGATTACATTTTATATAATAAATATATTTATACAAGATAATAAAGTTTAAATTATATTAATAAAAATTACTCTTTAAATAGAAAAATAATCAATTATTATAAAATGTATAAATATAAAAGGATAACAAGAAAAATAAATATGTAGTGAATAGTAAAGACAAACTATACACATATAAAAATATAATTTATAATTATATATATATATAAATTATATAATTTGATTAGATTTATACATTTTATTTAGACGTCAAATATTAAACTAAATTATATAAAAAAAAATCTTTACAAATTAAACCAAAATAACTCAAAGTAAATCATAATTTAATTAATCTAAACAGTTTTATTCGATTTATTAAACACTACTACCCATAACTCTTTGGTTAAGGTTGGCTTAATTCTATAACTTCCTTGTATTTTTTATGGTTTATATT